GATTTTTGGATTTACTTGAAAGCTTAGGCTTGATTACAGTTTTCTGCTTTATTTTGTTCACACGTTACTCGTGAAGTCATTTCGATAACTTTGACACGTTAAGTTGCATCTGAAGTGATTTTCTCTAAGATTTTGTTGTTGTTCTTCCTACAGCTTAAGTCACCCAAGAGACCAGGTAAGTGCACGATATTATTGCCATTTGTGCGATCACATTATCATGCTGTTGAGAAAGCATTTGAATGTCTGACAGGGAGTTGTTGCAGTTTGCAAAACTAAAACATCCATCATTTGCTAAGAACAGTCATGAAAACTGGAGCAAACCTTCAGGACACCCTCCCTGATTTTTTTCTTTTTATCCCTGCTGTGTTAAAGTTGTTTTTGTCTTTTCTTTAAGATTTATTGTAAAAGAAACATTTGCTTGTTTTCTTCTGTGTAGGCATCAAGTTTAAGATTAAGTATACATCCATTTGTGAAAATGAAACGAGAAGGCTTTTTCAGTATTGCTCTCTCTGTGGAGTTAAGTACTAGGGGCCGCTGATCTCAGCAGCTGTTCACGGCCCGCTTCTGGTGAGGGTCTCGCAGGCTGCTCCCAGTCCCAGCTTACAGGAGAGGCCAGCCCGGTGTTCATGGTGGTTCCTTCCCAAACGGCACTTAAGTCAGCGCTAGGCTGGAGGATGGAATGACAGAGGATTTTTTTTTTGTCTTAAGCACTGTGATTACTTACACACACCTCAAAGACTCTTCCTCCTCTAAATAATTTCCTCCTAAGAGCCACCATGGTCCACCCTCAGAGAGATCCTGAGTTTCTGAAGTCCTGGTGGGGAAGGGGTTTTTTTGGGTTTTTTTGTTTTTTTTTTTTTTTGCGTAGGTGTGTGAATTCAGATGATTTGAACCCACCGTAATTATCAGCCCTGTGTTAGCTTGGCTTTATACATACCCAGTAACTTGTCCTGCCTTGTAATAAATATTTTTAGAGATGATTTCATTTTTATAAATTTAAAGAGATTTTTCTAATTTTTTGCCCGTTGGGGCTACTGTGATGGTCACTGGTGGTGTAGTCCTGCTCTGAGTGACCTTGGGCAGATCCCTTCGCCTGCCCGAGCTGCAGGTTTCTCTTTGGTGCAGTGAGTTTAATCTTTGCCTTGAGGATCAAGTTAGATGTGATACACAAGAATTGTGTTGAATTCCCATTTTTGACAGCTATAAGGACTTGATCATGATTGTCATCACCTTTTATTAGCATTTCAATTGAAGCATATTAGCTAGTGGACACGCTTAGTCATCGAAATATCTCGTTGGTTCCTCCAGCATCCCCATCCTCTCCTGAACACTTGCCGGCCACACCTGCAGAGTCTCCAGCCCAGAGATTTGAAGCTCGGATAGAAGACGGCAAACTGTACTATGATAAAAGATGGTATGTCATGAATAAACACAGGTGACTCATTAGAGTCTCAACAGGACCACTCGGCATGAGGGCTGGGGCTTATCTGTAGTTATTTCAGAGCATGGCTGCTGCTTAACTGTTAGAGGAAGTACTAAAAGTGGAGTAGCGTATAGAAGTGTATCAGGGGTCTTTGATCAATAACTACTTGTTGGATTTCTGAAGGCAGTGTTTCCCAAAAACGTGTTCTTCTGATGGCGGCCCCCCTTCTCTCTCCACACTGCTGTCACTGTACTGGAATTTGCAGCCTTAGATCTTATGCGATGCTCCTGTAGACTGAGGTCAGGGTTTATGTCCCCTTCTCCCTCCCCTTACCTCTGCCCCCATGTATTAAAATTAATAGATGTTAATTCCGTGGAGAACAGGATTTTGTGGTCAGGTGAGTTTGAGGGATGACCATGTTAATTAAGATAAATGGATTTCATCATTGTAGCGCTCTTTGGGTCCTCTGCTATGCTAATGTGCACTGTGAATTCCTAAGATGTTATTAGGTGTTGTGTATTTGACTGAGATAACCTTTTGTGTGCATCATCCTGCAGCACGAGTGTTCCAGGAGACCTATTTGCGGGATTTGTATCCTGAAACATTACTAGTTTAGATTGAAATGGTTGAAAACCTTCAGGCCACCAGCATTTTCATTGGGAAGGAAATGGCAAAACAATATGAAAGAACTTTAAATACTCCTGCATTTACCCAAACATTTACTGTGTGCTCTGTAACTAGAGTTTCTGCTAGGTATCCAGTCACCCAGACCCTGCCACCTTTTCACAGCTCTTTAAATTCTGATTTATTCCTTGTATTCGTTGTCCACATGCAGGGACTCTCACTCAGAGTTAAGTTCTGGCAGACAGGCATTTATGTTCTGCATTTCCACTTGGTTATATGGAGAATGTTTTTCTAGGTTATTGTATGCTCTCTGTAACTGTCATCTTTAATGGTTGTGTAATCTTTTGAGTTTCAGTGTATTTATTTAACCCAGGGCTCCAAAATTAGAGTAAGATTATTTCAGATGTTTTCAGCTTTCTTAAAGGAAAAACCCCAACATTGTGTCAGTTGATAACCTTATAATATTGCACTTCTGAAGTCGACGTGCCTGAAATAAATCATTTCCACCTGTCAGATCACAGCGAGTTAATAACCCAGTAGGTGGTGAAGGCTTGCTCTGGCTGTAAGCATGATCTTAGTGACTTCTGCCCTTGTCATTTGGTGATTCTTTGACCTTCAAAAAGGCCAGTTACATTGTGTCCTAACATTGCTTATCAGAGCATGTGACCACTAGGTGGCAGGCCCTGACAGCTCAACACACTGAGGGGCAAAATAAGATGAAAAATGTTTTTAATAATGAAAACCAAATAACCTTTAAAGATCAAGCCCACACATAAGAACCGTCTTCAAAAATGATGAGATTTATCACTAACATTGTTACGGATCTATGAGTCTTAAAGCCATGTGATATTTCAGATGATGTTCATTTTGTCATTGTGTTGCTTCCGATCTTCCTCTCGCTAAGGCGTAATCTTTAGACTTTATGAGACGTGTCTTGAGGGTGAAAATGCAGTAAAAGAAAAGTCTTGTTTTTCTAAAGAAAGGACCCATGGTGACTGGTGTCTTACAGTGTAGACAGTGGTCTGAGGGGATGTGTTAGACCACCTAAGCATTTTGAAGAAATTTCACTATCTTTCTCCCAGTGGTGGCAGAAATTTTTGAAATAAGGTCCCTGGGAGCATTTTACTGTTTCAAAGACTTGAAAGTTGCTTATTCTGTTGTTCAGTATTGGGGTGTTGTTTTCTTCTGTATTCTGTGTGTTTCTCTTCTTCGGCCTTGGCAGTCAGAGTTTGTGACTCGTCTGTTGAAAGGTGGGTCCCTCCCTTCCCTGCTGTATCTGAAAAGTGTTTGCAGGAGTCCTGGCCGGCACCTCCACCAGTGCAGAACAGGCCTCACACAGTCTCACCAGGCTCTTGATGTGTTTGGCTTTTGTCAGTTTGGAAGCTTTCATTCTTCCTTATTTATCAGCAGTCGTGGCACATGGCTCAGGGGTCACCTGAATCGCTCTACACTCTTTGCAATAGTGCGGAGTATTTTGGTGAAACAGTATTTCTGGCAAAACACGTTTCATTGAGTTTTAAATGACTTCAGCAAAAGGAGTATGACTGGGGCTCCCCATCTTGGCCTGAGCGCTTATCAAGCTGTTTCTTTTTGAAAGATAAGCATCTTCCCTTGGCCTTGGTCTTATATTGCTTTTAAGGCATCTTACATCCTGCTGTAAGTTTTCCTCACATTTTGATTTGGACTAATGACTCTACTTAGAGAGTACTGTGGCAGTAGCTGAGGTTTTAAAATAACTCACTGACGGTGCTGGCGGACTGTTTTTTCTCTTCTCACTTTAAATCTGGAACTGCTAAAATGGATCAGATGCATTCACCCACTTGCTCCACTGAATTTAACCCTCCAGCCTTTGCCTGACACAAGAGAGACTATTAACCCAAAACAGTGGCTGTTTACAACTAAAATTGGAACTCCTTGCGGTTTTGTAGCTGTCACATAGTATTCGTTTTTTGAGGGGAAGGGGGTCTGAAATGTTAATATCAAGATTCCCAGTAGTGTATAAAATTAATCCTACCCACTTCCCTGCTTTACTTTGTGACCCATCTTCTAAAGAAATTGCTTTCTTCCATAATAATGGTGGTGGTTCTGGTTCATTGGGTTTAAGAACAGAGGCAAAACTTGAAGAGCGTAATTGTGAGGATTCCCAGGTCAGATTTTCCATTAGTAATAAAGTCAATTTGACATTTGAGGCTTGCTCTCTCAGGCTGTTTAAAGTATTTTTTTCAGTAGAGATGAGTTGTAGCTTGTAAAACCGGTTAATTGGCTAAAAAAGTGATAATGTGCATTTTTACTGATTTAACTCCATTGATTTTTTTTTTAACATTTTTATGTCTAAACATGTTTTGAATTCCTCTCTCCCTTCTTTTATTAGTCTTTAGAAATTGGAAAGTAAATTTGTATGTGAAGGATATCGTAGACTTTTTGGTTTTATCTTGGAAATCCCACCCTAAAATGAACACTTTAATTTCTGAAGACTTATTTTTTTCAGAGAATTCTGATAATTGCATAGATTTGATACCCAGGGATAATGATTCCCTAAGACCATTGTGTGGTGCTTGAGAATCTCCTGGAGGTCCCAGAGCCTCTGGTTCAAGAGGACCTGGGAATTAGCAGGTTTGGGAAACACGCTGGCCAGCTCTCCTGTGAGGCGCATGATGGCTAATGGTGGGCATTCAAGCCACCACCATTTGGTGATCCCAGAGCAGACAGATTTGGGCTTAGTCCCAGACCGCTTCCCAGGAGGAGAAGACCAGATTGCATTGTTTACTCCTGACGTAAACTTTAAAGCCAGTCGGGTGTGTTGGGTTTTGGGAGCTGAGCACATCTGAAGGAAAATGCAGCACATCTCATGAGAGCTGTTGGAATTGTCTCCCAAGGTTGTCTTTAACAGACATTAAGACATTAATTTGTGACATTAGATTTTCTCCTCATCCTTTCTTTGTTACTTAGGTATTTTCTAGTACCATGATTTATAAGAAAACAATTAACTTTTAATGTAAATAATACCTATTTCTTCTGAAAAAAAAATCTACGTGATAAAAGGAATGTCATTCTTAGTTTATGTTTTTTATTTTTATAAAATTTTAATATATACTTAATAAACATCTTAATATATTAACTTCCCCAATTTTTTCTGTGTGTCTTTGTGATATGCATGTAAAGCATACATCATGTTTTGTTACACACAGAGAAACACAGTGGATGTGGTTTTTTCCTTAGCATTGTGGTGAGCACATTTCCACACTGGTAATGTACTTCTTCACCACACTCATGACCTTTATTAAAGTGTTTAGAAATTATAGAATGACTTGAGGCTAGTTGCATGTTGTTTTGTGTTTTTACCTTTTTAATAACTCATAACCTGCATAGAATAACTGGATGTTCTCCCCCTCTGTGTTTTTATTCTAACCGTTACTTAAGACATTACCACTTACATAGGGTGGTTGGCTTAGATGTGGGAGGGAAACTCAAGTCTGAGTTTTGCTCTGAACTAGTTCAGCCTTTCTTCATGCACTGCGCAATTCAGATCTTGTAATATTACATATTTAGTATAATGAAGGTCCCCTGGCCCATTTACCAACTAATTTCTGGCCAAAAACAACTTTAAAGCTGAGTCTAAACTAATCTCCCTGTTCTAATTGAATTTATGATTTGATTTCATTTAACAGTGTTTTCAGGAAGTAAATTGTCTTGGAAACCTGAGTTTTTAGCTCCTAAGTAGCAGGTTAGGGAGTGCATAGACTGTGGATTGGAAGAAACTTACGTGGGAGTGTTCCTCCTTTACTGTGATGTCTCAGCAGTGTGTTATTGCACCAGCAGAACAGAGTCTGTTTTCTTCCCCCACAAAAATAACGATAAGATACAGTGCTTTGCTGGGAGATGCATTTTGGTGAAAGTTACATAAGTTAGTTGGTCTGTTTAGCTAAATCTGTGCTGCCAGAATGAACCAAAGGTTATGTTCTTGACTGAACTGGGGCTGGCCCAGGCCAGGGCTGCCAGCAGCAGCTAAGCTGATGTGTCCAACTCTTACAACCCAGCAGCTGCTCCCCTCTCCTGTGGCATCTGTTACTGACTCATTTGGGCTTCGGTCCTGGCTTCCTCACTTCCATCTTTGGCCTTGTCCCTGAGCTCACAGAAGACGGTGAAGGTGGTCCTGCACTGCAGGCCAAGAGAATAGCTACAGAGTCGTAAAGGGGAGAGTCTGTCTCGTATCCTCCATTCAGAGCAGCTCTCCTGGCTGACCAGGTCAAATTAGATACCCTTTGTTGCATATCAAGATGCTCTGAACTTTGTTCGTTAGTGCCTGCCAGGTGTGATTGTTTAATATTCATCACTGCCGCTGTGTTTGAAGCTCTTGATAGCAGCGACCTTGTGGCTTTGCTCACTGTCTACCTACAACCTCCAGCCTGGTCAGTGGTATACAGCAAGTGACTAATGAGTATTTGTTAAATGAGTGACTGAAGTAAGGGCTGAATTTGGCCTGCCGTCTTGTTGATGACACATAGAAAAAAAAAAAACAGGGCAGTCGTTCAAGCCCATTTGTTCTGTCCACCCAGCCTTCTTCAGTATTTTGGGGTGGGGGCAGAAAGTGGAAACAGAGGTTTTACTTGAAAAATTATAATTTATCTTTTGAAATGGATCATACAGTCCGAATAAAAAAATACAGAGTTAGTTTCCCAGCCCTTTGCTTCACCCCCTTTTCTCCTTTGCAATGGGACCAAGAATATAAGCTTTAGCTTTAGAAGATCAGGAAGTCATCTAAACTAATGCAAGGATGGAAGCCTTTATTTCATTTGTTTGTTTATTTTGTTGGGGAATGGAGCATGTCGGTGTTTTTAATTTGTGTTAATGATATTGTATTCATATCTTTCTGTTTCTTACATTTTCACTAAGAACTGGGTTTTTAAGATCCACCCATGTTGCTGTTTGTGTCCACGGGTCCACACTAATTACATCTCTCCACTCTCCCAGTGGTGGCCATCCTGCTTTGCCACCAACTCCCATTATCCACGGATAATGTCACACACGACATCTGTTGAGTCCCTTCTAGACCTGCAAGAGTGTTTCTTTGGGGTAAATAATCAGGAGCAGGATTGCTGGCTCACTGGCATCCCGTTTTTCTCCAGGCAGTGAAACCTACACTCTCCTCACCTCCCACAGTGGATAAGGGAGCCTGGTATCCTGGCCCTCACCCGCAGTTGATAAACAATCTCCCGTTCTGATGTTTACCAGATTCATAGGGATACAGTGAGATGTCATTGTCATTTTAACATGCATCTCTCTGATTACTAATGATTTTTAATGTGTATTCATGTGCTCACATGTTAGTTTCAGGTGTCTCTTCCTCTGAAATTGTCTTTTAAAACCTCAGTCCGTTTTTCTCTATTAGGGAAATGTCCTTGTTTTGATTTGCAAAATGGAAGCAAGACTTTAAACCTTAAATCCAGGCTATTCCTCAAATATAAATTGACTCCTTTATATTTTTTGTTGTGGTGGGTTTTTTAGTTTTTTTTTTTTAATTTCCTTCTTTCGTTCTTTTGTTTCTTCCTTTCCTAAATTTGGGCCTTTAGCAATACTACATACTTAAAATCTGTTAAGAGAGTGGATCTTATGTTAAGAATTCTTACCACAAAAAAAAAAAAGCCACAGAAAACAATAATTATAGTAAAGAGGATGGGAGGAATCTTTAGGGGAAAATGGCTATGTTTATGGCCTTGATGTCGTGATGGTTTTTCACAGGTGTATCCTTATCCCCAAACTCACTGAGTTGTATATGTATGAACTACTTTTTAGATGTCAATCATACCTCAGTAAAGTGTTTAAAAAAAAAATAGTGTGTCTTGTTTCTGGCAGGTACCACAAGAGCCAAGCCATCTATCTGGAGTCAAAGGACAACCAGAAACTGAGCTGTGTGATCAGCTCTGTCGGAGCCAATGAGGTAAGGCCTGAACTCCCTCACCCTTTAGGAGAACGAAATGGGACAGACTTGCAGTGCAAGTACAGAGTCACGTGTTCCATGTGGGTTAGAGTCTAAAGCCAGCACTTTCAGGCAGAAATTGCACATAGGCAGAAGTCACCCTTGGAAAATCCCTTACTCTGCTTGACTATGGTATACGTGGGTTTGTGTATTCCTTGTGGTTTTGTGAACTCCCTGTAAAGGAACCCAGTTGGGAACCACTGAGATGCAAGTTGGTGTGCTATCTGCACATTCACATCCTGCTGCTCTTTAAGGTAACCATCTACTGAGAATGGGACTTGCCTGTGGAGCACATTCCTTCTCTGTTCTTTTATTTCTCTCAAGCTTTCATGTGTACTGATAGATTTGCTTCCTGCTCTGAGGGTTTAACGAGGCGTCTGGCACACAGTAAGTGCCTAGTAAATGGATGCTGGCCTGATCTGACCCACACACTGCTCTTCACTGCTGTTTCTAATCTGATGTGTCCTGTTGTGCTCCCGAACAGTGAACTACCAGGCTCATGCCCTTAGATTCTGGTCTCCTCCAGTCACTCTTGTAGGATGGGGACCGAGTGGAGTCAGCTCAGAGGGTCATGTTCAGGGGTGATGTGTGTGGCCTGTGACTTCTCCAAGTGGCCCTTTATTGTTGTCTGTGTGTAGCTGGCATTGTTAATAGTCAAAAAACAGTTTAAAACTTTACTAGCTGGATTGGCTTCATCTTTTATCAGTGCACAAATGTCTGCAAAGAAATTGATTTTTATGTGTCTGCCCTCTGCAACTTATTCGTGCCAGTGCACAGTAAATCTAATGAAACTGGATTATGAAATGACTTAAGCCTATTCTGTTCTCCCAGCTTTCTGCATTGAAAATGCCCTCTAATGTGACTAGTTTGCAAAGTGATTGTTTACTTGGAAGTTAGAGAGAGCCTTCCAGATAAATGAATGTGTTTTTCTCTGGGCTTGGGATTTGTGTGTCATCCCAAGCCAAGTCAAAACCAGAAGAGAGGATCTCAGAGACCTGCTTGCTGTTCCTCAACAGGAGGCTTTGCGATGTCACAGCAGGGCATTTGTGACTGGTCACGTGGGCCGCTGTCCTAAGCGCAGGTGGCCTCCTAGTACCTGAACCCAAATCCAGAAGCCGTCATCATTCTCTGTGACACCTCAGGATTTTTCAGGAAAATAGACATGCAAGTTAGATTTTTTTCTCTCTATGTTGAAGATTGTCATAATAGAGTGTCAACAAGATCTGACAAGGAAGCGGTGACACTGAGACATGTTATCCTGGAGGGGAGAAGCCTCAGTGCATCGCAGGCGTGCAACCCTGATAACAGGGAACATTTCTTACTTCTTGGAAGTATCCCCGCTCATTTTCCAGGCCAAGTCCTAAGTGACACTGAGATTCCCTTGGCCTCTGCATTACTTGACTCTGGGTGTATTAGGTGCTTGGGTCTCAGCATGTTGGTGACTGCCTAGTGCAGCCCTCCTTGGGGTCAGTTTTCAGTTTCAGTTTCAAATGGTTCTTCAAGGTTCTTTGGAGGCTCAGCTTCATGTGAGGTCTTTATTTTTAAACCAATGTGTTTGACTTTAAAGTCTCTGTGTTGTTAAGTAATCATGGTAAAGATGTTGAAATGAAAGATAGCTTTTTTTTTAAACCTGAAAACTGAGTGGGGAAGGAGGAGATAAATCTGCAGAGTTATGCTTGCATATATGGGTGAGATGCAAATCTTTAAAAGAGTCATGCTTTTGGCTCCATCTCATTGCGTGTTAAACGGATAAAAAAAAAGGGTGAGAAGGAGAGTCGGGGGCTGTGGTTTAATGAAGAAGAGTAGTGGGCTTTGATGTCAGGCTCCAGGGTTCACCTGGGACAAGTTGACTCACTCTTGCTCTTCTGTTAAATTCGGGTGATGACAGTACTTACTTCATGTGGTGGTTCTGAGGATGAACATGCTCAGCTTGGTCAGCAGTGTGGAGCCCCCAGTCATCCCTCCCACAGGTGTGGCAGGTGACCGAGGAGGGGGCAGCTCTCCCTCCCATCCGTGGCAGCAGGGGTGCCTCGTACCGAGTGCACCAGGCAGCGCTGGCAGGACCCCTGCTGAAAGCATTCCATCTCAGTTCTGGAGTCAACGTCTTCCCTGAAAATACCAGACATCTGATCCCATCTGTGGGAGAGCAGTATGGTCAGGAGGGAAGGACTGTCTTAAGCTAATTTGGCCTCCTCAGGATCCTCCTTGGCCCTTGGCTCACTCATGGGTGCTTTTATTGTTGTCCATTTTTTTTTCTTTTCTTGTTATGACCTTTAGCTTTAATTGCCAGGAAACTAGACTATTGAAAGGCTAGACTGTTTGGAATTCCCTTGGGAAAAGGAAGATATTCCCAAATTTGATTGAAAGTTTATGTTCATGAGTGTATGTTTTTGTTTTTGTTTTTGTTTTGCTCTTTTTAAATTGAAGTATAGTCAGTTTGCAATGTTGTGTCAACTTCTGGTGTACAGCACAAGGCTTCAGTCGTACATGAACATAATAATGAATATATGTATCTTGAGTTGATAATTAGGTAATCAAACCAAATCAAAAAGAGTCCTCACGATGAAGGCACAACTAGAACTCAAGATCAGTGTGCTTTCCACTTGCTTACCCGCGGGTGTGAGAGAGATGACCGGGAGAGAAGGCTGATCCCTGCTCTGCAGTAGAGGGTGCCTTTGGGAGGCGCCTGTGAAGGCCTCACGGGTTGGCAGGAAGAGGTTGCCAGTCGTCTGCTTGCACCCAATTCGTGCATGTCTCTGTGCCCTGGAGCATTTCCTCCTCAGTATGAGCCTCTCTCATCTTGTCCCTTTTCCTTCTCCCCTGCAGATCTGGGTGAGGAAGACCAGTGACAGCACCAAGATGAGGATCTACCTGGGCCAGCTGCAGCGCGGGCTCTTCGTGATCCGCCGGAGGTCAGCGGCTTGACTTTCTACGGTGTTCTTCCCTTGACCCCTTTTCTGGAGCGGTTTTTGGTTTTGTTTTGTTTTCCTCTTAATAGAAAGTTTTTAACTTGGGGATTGCTCCTTGGCCATGGAAAATGGCGAACACAGTTGTGGATTCTGCAAGGCGCTGTTGTGGCCGGCCACTCCCCATCTGTGTGTCCTTCCTGATCCACCTCGACTCCTTCCAGTCGTCAGTCACCATGAGACTCTCTCACTTCTGGGAGCACTGGGAGTTGCTTTACTTCTTTTTTTCTTTGCTTATACTTTTTCTTTTTCTTTTTTTTTTTTAAATTTAAGCCTCCTTTGAGTTTGAAGGGACAACTCGATTAATTCTCTTTAGGTTTTCCTGCCATGAAGAGGAGTAGGAAGGGATATACTCTACAATGCGTTTTCATGTATTGAATCTGATTAGTGGATAACGTAGCTACTTTCTTTGTTGGGCCCAATTCGCTGTTTCCCCAGAAGCTCGGGGCAAAGGTCCTAGTGGAAGGAGATTAATTCTCCTGGCTCTCAGCCTTCTCGGAGAAATAAATGCCTTGTGTAACATCTGGCGTATGCCATCCATTCCATTGGCTGAAAGACAGAAAAACTTGCCTGGGAGACTACGTGTGCTGCAGTAAATGGGGTCGGGGGAGGGGCCGTTTCATATTCATGAAGTACTGACGGTACCATATTTTAAATGTTGTTTAGTGCAGTCGGTTTTATTAAGACACGTTTGTTCTAGCTCAGGCTGGAACAAGAAGTGGTCCTTTTGGAAGTTTTCACCTGTAATTCACTTCTCTCTCCTGCTCCCAAGTAGACGAGGCGGTGCCTGCCGCAGGCTGATTATCTAGGGGGTCTGTTGTAGGTGGGGAGGTGAGATGGATGGTGTCATCGTCAGTGGTCCATAGACTCTCACTCATAACTCACACTGCGCTCCTGTTGCTGTTGCCATTGTCGCACTTGGCTGTTCCGAACCCATGGAACCTAATTTGGGCACTCGCGGCCTCCCAGGCCATCTCCTGGGAGATCTGGCCCAGGTGGAGACAGGGCAGGCTGTGGCTGCCACTAAACCTGCACTCTCCCTAAAGAGTCCTGATGAAGCAGCCTTCCCTGCTCTCCCGGCTCCCTTTCCCTCGTTCCCATCATCGGAGAAATGATTCATTGGGTGACTTTTTTTTTTTTTTAATATTCTAGTTTCCACTTAAATGCTTCAAATATTTAGAGTTAGAGCAAGTGTTAGCATCTCTACGGACAATCAATAGACCTTACACAGCCTAAGAAATCGTTGTAACTAACTCCCTTGGTCTCAAGTGGTTCTCTTTGTGTTGTTTCTTGATGCACATACCCAAAAGTGAGTTGGGGAGCTGTGATGACAAGTAAATGACCTTCTCCAAAGTCCTGGCTTCAACAGAGACCAGACCTTACAGACTCAGAGTAGAGATTTGCACAGATACATTTTAGTTTTAATTTATAATCCAATTTTTCTCTCATTTTTTTCTGGTGTTGGAGTCTCCTTTAGAGAACAGGATAAATGATGCTGTTTATCAATTTGCCTGGGTGCTCTGTGTTTCTTCTTTGCCTCCCAGCCCCACCCCCACCCCCACCATTGTGATCTTTACAATAAGATCGGGGCTTCACCTTTTGTTTCTTCCTCGCGGCCTTTGCTGTAAGAGAGGCTCTCTCGATGGAATTGTCCCTGTGATGTATGTAACATCTCATGATGTCAGGGAGCTCTTTGTTATCCCTTAGTGCCCTGTAATGGAAATTTATTTAGATGTATTTAGTGTGTGTTGCCATTGAAAGTGGTGGGTCTTTTGTTGCTGTTGTTTTTAAATGATTGTTTTGTCTTCCCTAACAGTACAGCAGTTTGTTTTTTGGGGGGAAGAATTGTATTGATAATCACTGGAGGTTCAGTTTGAAGCAGCAACAAGTTGCCTGGTTTTCCTGCCTTGTCTGGTGGCTCTGTTGTGCTGTCATGAAAGACACTTATTTGAAGACCGGGCACTTGAGCCTTTTCCCTTCTATGAATGTTTGAGGTCAGACTTTAGCATGGTCTCGGCCCCATCACTGCCTTCTCCTCAGTAGCCTCACAGCCCTTAAAAATCATGATCTCATGAAAATGGGGTAAACTGTGAAGTACTCTTGAGACACAGCACAGTAAATTATATTCCTAATCCCGGATGAGTTGATTTTTTATTTAGTCACTCTGCAGATGGACGAATCAGCAGTTCAGCCCATTAGACAGGCCCCTGTGGTGACCAGGGGTGGAAAAGGCCCCTTGTTAGGAGGAAATGGAGGTCCTTTTGTGATGAGCAAAATCAACCTAGAGAGGAAAAGAAAAACAGACTTTGAGCTTCCTAGAGTAAGAGGGGCCTGGCTGTCTATTCTTACTCCAAAAGGTCTCCGTCTCTCCTTAGACCCCAGGGCACCAGATGGATCCCCAAATTTAGCCTGTTTCCTACAGGTGACATTTTGATAAAATTTGGTCCAGACAGTTTCGATCAAGAACCTGTATGTGTGTTATTTTGATCAAGAACCTATGCGTTTATTTTGTTGGAGGCATCTGCCTCAAGGATTATACGCGGTGTTTGCTTTGGATGTGTCCTTGTATTTATTTTACCTCCACTTGGAGGTTTTTATGTGCCTCCCTCAACTTCCTCCTCCCCCACAAGCCAGTGTCCTCTTGAACAGTGTCCAGATTCTGTAGCCATACCAAAGCCCAGGATGTTTTCATTCATTTGGATACCAGTATTTTTGGAAGTCTAACTACCTAATGTAAATTTTTTTTTAAAAAAACTTCTAGCTGAGGCCAGTGTAAGATCGCAGAGGCTGGTCTGCAAATCAAGCTGCTTGTATTTGTGTGTGAGATCCTGCGTTTAGGATTCGGTGACTTTTCTAAGAGAAATGTGGGGGGTGGGGTGGGGTTGGTTGCATTTTTTTACCTAACTTTGGGGTGGAGGGAAATCCTATTTTTTACAGTATTTTTGTTTTCATTTTTCTATTAACATTTCCTCTTAGCCTTGAATTTTTACTAAATTTCCTCCTGATTTGAGAATCTTGTTTCTAATCTGGGAATTTGAAAACTCGGTACATAATGTTACACCAGTTTTTCCAAAGAGTTCAAACCACTTTGATAGCAGAACACGGCAAAAAAACGAAAAACAGCAGCCATTTCAGGCAACTGGTGGGCTTTTTATACAATAACATTGTTAACTGGTACATTAAATGTTCTGAGAGGTGAATGTAAAATGTAAAAGATAGAGGTTTTTTGTGTGTTTCTTTTTAATTACAATAAACTTTCAAAGAGAAAACCAGCATGTAGTCTGTGTTATATCCATTGACTTGATAAATGATTGAAATTTATTAGATTTTCTCTCCAACGACCGTAGGGGAAGGAAGTTGAGGAAGAGGGAAGGCTCTACGAGACATTGGCTTGTTATGGAGAGTGCGAGGTGGAGTGGCGTCAAAGACTGACTCGGGTTTGTAAAGAGCAGTCTAGGGGTGTCGACTCTTAAAGGTGGTCAGCTGTCTCCTGGTTGGATAAAAGAATCTGATTTAAAAACTGAGTAAATAAAATTGGCCTTAAATAGGAAAAACGTGAAGATAAACTGGTAGGAGGAGGAGATGTTCATCTGGTACCCTGGAGCAGTGCTGGCCCGTCTCACCAGCACCTGAAGTGTTTCTGCAGCTCCTGGGCAGTAAATGGATGAGGCCACTCGCTGCTGCAAGTGACCAGTCTGTTGTGCTTGTAACCTAGTCGTGCTTCTGTCACTCATTAGAAGGGCTGCTTCATGCTTTGAATAATGGAGGAGGGGGCAGTCAATATTTGAATAATTTTTTATTGTAACATAACATACATACGAAAAAGTGCACAAATCTTAATTGTAGAAGTTGTTTTCTCAGTGTGAACACATGCACGTAAGCAGCATCTAGACCAAGAGACAGTGTCACCAACATCCACAACACAACTGGCATCTGGACCAGGAGACAGCATCACCAGTGTCCATGTAGCTAGCACCTGGACCAGGAGACAGTGTTGCCAGTGTCCACATAACCAGCTTCTGGACCAGGAGACGGCATCACCAATGTCCACGTAACCAACACCTGGATCAGGAGACAGCGTCACCAACATCCACATAACTGGCATCTGGACCAGGAGACAGCATCACCAACATCCACATAACCGGCATCTGGACCAGGAGACAGCATCACCAACATCCACATAACTGGCATCTGGACCAGGAGACAGCATCACCAACATCCACATAACCGGCATCTGGACCAGGAGACAGCATCATCAGTGTCCACGTAACCAACACCTGGACCAGGAGACAGCATCACCAACATCCACATAACCAGTATCTGGACCAGGAGACAACATCATCAGTGTCCACGTAACCGACACCTGGTCCGGGAGACAGTGTCACCAGTGTCCACATAACCAGGATCTGGACCAGGAGAGAGCATCACTGACAACCATGTAACCAGCATCCAGACCATGAAACAATGTCACCAATGTCCATGAGCCCGTAGCGTTTCTTCCAGTTACCACTCCTCACTAGTGTAGCTGCTAGCCCACTAAGTTTACTCTGTTTTGATCACTTTAACATTCAAGCTCTTGAGGTCTGCGGGTCCTTCCACAGTTGTTCTGAAGGAGCCAAGTCCCTGGGGTAGCCTAGGTGTAGGCTAGCTGGCAGGCAGCGAAGGATGTGGCTAAAGAGAGGAGGTGAAAAAACAGACTCAGCTCCCGCATCTCAGCCTCCTGTTTGTTACCAAGGCGAATGGGGCTTGCCCTTGACACTAATATCCGCCTTGTACTGAGTACTGCCTGTATGCCAGGCACTAGACTCAACCTTCAAAGGAGTAATCTGTAAAGAGTACTAACACCCCCAAACTTGAGGCTTTAATTCTCCTGTGAGAGCCAGAGCTCAGCTCTGTGCTTGGTCACAGGAAGTGCTCCGTAAATGTCAGTTGTTGGACAGTCTTACTGTACCAAGTGACAGGCAAAGCAAGGCAGGCTAGTTACAGTGGCTCCAGTTCCAGGCGGCGTGCCCTCCACCGGCGTCATGTCATTTAAGTTGCTTAACGGCCCTGGAAAGAATACACTGGTTTGTTGTTACCACCAATTTTCAGAGGAGAAAGCAGACCCCTTTAGTCACAGATGTTCAGGCACCTCTCCAAGGTCACACATTGAGTGGCCAGGTCCAGCTCTTCTGGATTCTATCTAAGGCAGGTTTCCTAACAGCTGCCCTCTGCTGTCCTTTTCCCAACCTCCTCTGTTAAAACACATGCAGTGTTTCCACCTTTCTCCTTCAGCCTTCCCTGGAGGTTGGCTTTTATCTGCTCTCACTTCTTGGACTGGCATACTCCCAGAGCAAATTTAGAGGTCAAAACACAATTGGGTAGGGCCCTCCTCCCTGCTGGATAACTCTGGGCTTCTCCCTTGGCAGTAGAGTCAAGGAAGTCAAGTTCTTCACCAGAAAGTTACTTTCCTTTAAAAAGACATGAGCATGGCGGTTCCACAAAGGGAGGAACCATTCAGAACGTAGAGGGTCATCGGTCTCAGTAGAGCCGACTTTATCTGATAAGCCTTGGAGGAAAATGTGTCTCTGTTTTTCCAGATGACTTTCTTCCCACCTTTCCTATCTGTAAAGTCAGGAGGAAGGGTAGGAGCCAGTGAACCAGTTTCCAAAAACTTAGATGAAGAGCTGGACATCCTACCTCTTGCTGCTTCCTGGGTGTCGGTGGACCTTCCCTGTCGCGTCCTGTGGGGTCACTGCTGGCAGAGCACACCACTCCCACGTCGCCTGCTGCAGACCGCCTGCTCAGCCCCGACCAGCAAGCTGTGCCACAGTAGATCCTGAGGGGCTGCAGTCTTTGGGCAGAAGCAGGAATGGAACCAATTTCTGGTCTTTCACTAGTGTTAGAGACACCCCAAGCCACATTTTTGGTAAAGCTAAGTCCTTTTCCTGCTTTTAAAAAGAAGGCACTGGATGGAATGAACTAGAAACATGGGTACCAGTTCACTCTTTTGGGGCATAATAGCATAGCAAGAAATATATTCGCTTCAAGAACTTTAGTGTTAACCAGAATAGATACTTTTGTGAATAACTAACTCTGGTTATTAAGACAAAGAGATACGTATGTTTTAGGAAGATCGTTAGGGGAGTGAGGGACATAAGATACAGCACAGGTATCCAGATGCTAATGCCTTTACCCATTTTCTCTAATCTGCGTTTGCTCAGAATTCCCTGAAAGATAGAGATCTATAAAACAGCAGAATTTACTTTGCTGATAGGGGAAGACCAATAATGAGAGTTACAAAGGTTCTCTGCCCTGTTTCTCGAGAGCTGGAGGCTCAGTAGTCTGTGCTCTGGTTTTCTGTAGACTGGAGCCCCCATCTGTGGGCAACACCCCTCTCTCAGCCGATGGTGCGGATGGGCCAGAGGTTAAAGCAGGTGATACTGCGGACCCAGGTGGAAGAGCAGTGCCCGTGGGGAGCGAGCAGGTGCTGCGTGGGGTGGGGGTGCGGCAGCCCCAGGAATGCAGGCAAGCCCCTGCAGGTGACCAAGAATCGCTTTCATTTCACCACTCAAATGAGCATTTGAGTGTTTGCTGAGATGCAGTGTGGCACTGTGGCAAGCGCAGCAGAGCAAAGGCTTTGAAATTAGTCCTGCTTTGCTGCTTAACTGTCTGTGTGACCTGGGGCAACTTAATCTCTCTGAACCTCAGTTCCTACCTCAGAGTGATTTTGAGGATTCTAATAATAACAGCACACGTACTGCTTAACTACATGCTAGACATTGTACACACGTTAACTTACTGAATCCTGTAATCCTATGAGGTAAATAGTACTATAATCCTTATTTTACAGTTGAGGAAATCAAGAAACAGATTAAGTAAGTTGCCCAAGGTCACACAGCGCGTAAATGGTGAGCCAGGGCTAAGCCCAGGCCGTCTCTGCAGAGTCCCTGCCCTCGTTCACCAGGCTGTACCGGGAGGTGTGGGTAGCGCAGGCCTGGGCGCGGGGCGTGCCCCCAGCCTGTGCAGACCACCCCTTCCCTTGCCGCTGCTGCTGCCGCCTTGGACATTAGGTGCCAAATCGGCGCCCGTTCCTGGTAAGGTAGTTTAGCGCCAGCAGACAAAAGGTGAAGCTGCAGGTTTTAGAGATCATGCTAAGTGTCAGCTCCTACATTTGGGTTGTAAACGCCCAGCAGGTTGGGTTGAGAAGGATTCTGAGGCTCAAGCTTGGGTAGAGTGAACGTCATAGGCTATCCCTGATCTAGTCTGACCGCTTCATTTTGACAATGAAAACATCTGAGGCCCAGAGATGGTAATAATTTGCCTAGGTCATATGGCCTGCCGTGGGCAGTGTGGGGCTAGAACACAGCTGGGACAGTCATTTGAATACCTGCTTGGATCAGACTATGCTGGAAAGCATAGTGGACAGGCCCCTTTATGACTTGGACAATTTGTTGTCTCAGTGGATTCGTTTTTGCCTCTGTGCCTGCAGTAGGGGTGATGGGAGTCCTGGGTTCGTCATCCTGGTTGGGCCACTCGTTAACCTTGGGCCATTTGCGTAACATCTGTGTGCTTCAGAGTCTGGGCACACTCATCCCAGCGTGGCTGGGACTCTTCTGGGTTTAGCGTGAAAAGTCCTGCACCCCAGGAACCCCGCTCAGACTCTGCCAAGCTGGGACAGTGGGTCACTCAGTTTTCTGTGGAATGAAGATGAGAATTGCCCCCTTTCCATGGAGTTGCTTTGAGGATTAACTGGTTTATTTTGGGTAAAGCACTTAGAAGTAGTTGTTTGGGCCAGAGTAACCCCTCAGTACATGTTTGTTGTTTATTGTTCTTGTTTTCATTATTATGGGAGCAGAAGGGTCCCTGCCACAGAATGGGTCCCTGGAGAGCTTCGCTCTCATCCCAGACAAGATGGGGAACCTCCACGGTCATCTGGTTACCTACAGCCCATTGTTTGGAATACTTTTTTCTTCTACTTGAAACAGTAATCATGGGCTTGAGAATGGGATAATCATTGCATTCAATTCAAGTGACGTTTATGGAGCTTCTGTTGCATGTTACATAGTGTACTGGGCTCTTTTCAGGGATTCAGAGATAAATAAAAGCATGTTCCTTCCCTCTGGGACAGCAGGGATGAGCAGCCATGGTTGTCAGTAATTCTAGTTCAGTGTAATAGGCCGTGGAGAAAGTGGGACTGGAATGCGGGCAACTGAGAAAATAATAGCACCTGACACTTATTGAGCAGATGGTTAAGCCTTCATGTGCATTATCATTCATTATTTATTGTAAC